ATGTGGATATTTTTGGGCATTACTCTGATAACGATATCCAGACACTACTATAAAACATTGCTATTGTTGAGTATAGTAAAAAAGAAAAGGATTGAGCTGTAAAATTATAGAAAAATAGAAACATTACACTGAAACGTTGTGTTTTCTTTTCATTGTTAAAGGTCCTGTATTACCGTGTTAAAACGCTCCTAAAAACATACCTGGAGTTGTGTTTTGTTTCATTCACACATGTTTAAGAAATCATTTATTATTTGTCTGTCTACATCTCCAAAGCTCAAAATGCTCTTTGCCACCTTGTGTTGTCAAGTAGTGGTAAGCACGTTGTAGTAGTTTCAAGATTATTTCAATTCCAGATCTGAAATTATGTGTGAGGAGTTAAAAAAAAAATGTGTCCTTTATTTAACCAGGATAGTCCCACTGAAATTAAGAATCTGTTTTTCAGGGGAGTCCTGGCCCCACAGGAGACCCTAATGTACATGTTTTTAGTGGTAGGAGAAACCGGAGCACCTGGAGGAAAACTACGCAGGCACAGGAAGAACATGCAAACCCCACACAGAAAGGCCCTGCACCGCCACAGAATCAAACCCAGGAGCTTCTTGCTGTGAGGCAAGAGCGCTAACCACTTTGCCACAGCGCCGCCCAAAGACAGTGGACCACATGATGTCACAAGTTTTCAGTCTGAGAGAAGAACTCAGCCTAAATATGCAGGATTTGTGTGTTAAACATGTGTGAATAAAACAAAACACAACTCCATGCATGTTTGTGATGAGGAAACAACATTATTACATAGATCACATAAATTAAATGATATTCAAATTCTTCATATCATCATTATTCATTATACAATTTCAAAATGTCTCACCGTTTTAGTATAAGCCATAAACTATTGAGTCAGTGTTTCTGAATAACAATAGATATATTTTCTGATCTAATTTTCTAATGGTTCAATTGCAACATGACTCTTACATACAGTATATGGGCAACAGAAAAGCATTATAGCGCTAGAAAACAGAGCCCAGTTTTGTTTACATTCTCGTGAGGTCACATGTTAAGGTCACATGGTGCGGGTTCAGCCTTCAGAGCTCAGGGTGCTAATGGGTGGGCCTGCTGCTGTCTGGAGGCTGTATTGGCAATATTGATCCTCTCACACACAGGGGAAGTGCACACAGAGCAGGGGCCACAGCTGGAGGGGCTGTGATATGGAGGGAGGGGCTACAGGGCGTCACCTCTGGATCAATCGCTGCCTATATTTAGACACACTGGGAGCTATTCCATATCTATGCAGTATATCAGACCTAACGCCTGTCTGGAGATTCTGCAAACTTTTTACTCGGTAGTGCAGGTGATATGAACCTACAAAGTTCTTACTGAGTGCATGTACATGCACATCAGTATCCTGGTTATGATCTTTTTTTTGAGTATCCCGGTTTCATCATGGTGCATGTAGATGCAGTATCCAAGTTGCAGTATCCCGAATAAGGCAGTATCCCAGTTATGAGAAACCTGGATACTGTAGCTGGTATATTCCGATACAGCAATATAAAGTTGAGAGCGCATGTGTCCAAAAGACAAACACTTTTCAGTCTTTCCATCACAACAGTAGCGAATAAAGTGACCATACATGAGTGAAATGACTGCACTAATCATGCATAAGTACGATCTGCACTCGTATGACCTGCACACGTATGATTGCTGAACCGCATCAACGCACAAGGAAAGAGCTGTCTTTAATCAGCGTTAACAGTTTATGCAAATTACCCATGTGGTTTTTAAAGTTTCGAATTATATTATCAAACTGGTTAATGGGGCTCTATAGTGGTTATGGTTTATATATTGTAAAGTTGAGTTTATTTATGCAGAAGGTTTTAATGAAGAATCTGTTGCAGTGTAGAACTTGTACAACATTTGGAAATGTTCGGTTTGATCTGCGTAGTGGATTGTGGGATACCTCATAGCTCCATACCGCTGGTTGGGAAAACAGCTTCCTATGCTAAAGGAGCTCATGGTTGTTGTTTTTTTTACTGGTTTATTTTCATTAAATTAAGTACATTTTTGCATTTGCAAATTTGTAAGATTAAGTCAAGAAACCGGGACACTCCATTTGATCATGTACACAGGGATATGAGTATCCTGGTTTCTCAGTGTGCATGTATACGGTGTATCCCGTATACTGCCATAACCGGGATATGGCTAATAACCGGGATACTGATGTGCATGTATACACACTCACTGTCACCTGGAGGCCAAACTGTTCAAGTTATGGTGTAGAAATGTGGTCATAGCAGTAATAGTAAAAGCATTCCATTTAAAATGTATTAAACGCACCAAACAAACTATGCACCAGCCAAACAAAGGCCGAAAAACTGTATGAATGTGGTGTGTGTGGCACAGATTGGTAGACTCTCTTCAGTCAGTGGTGATGATTTTAGTTTACCAACCCTGATTGTGGAGTGAATGAATAAATGTGCGAAATTGCGACTTTGTGCATCTGGAAAAGTAGCCAGGCTGGCGCCACCTAGTGCCTCTGCTCAATTTAATTTCTCTCCAGCGATTAGGTCAGGAATCAGATTACACTAGATGGTTTGCAAGAACCCCGGAAGTGCGAGTCCAGGCACCAGCCAATCAGTGAAGAGCCATACATTCTGTGTTGGCAATGATTCCCTAGATCGAGGAATTAAAGCCGGAACAAATAGAACGTTTGGTGAATTTTATCAAGGGGAAAGATGTTATTCCCCTTCTTCCTATGAGATTTGGGAAAAGCTTAATATAGCAGTTAGCCCCGTTAGTAGCGCATTACATACATCACAACCAAATAGCAGCAACTGGTTGAATAAAAAAGTACCCGCCTACTGTTGAGCGAATGAATCCTAATGCTGCGAGGTCAGACGGTTTCCATGAAGTGAAACTGGCTAATGAGTGCTATATAAAACAAATTCACTATTATTATTACATGTTGATTGATTGATTGATTAATTAACTAAAACTAGATCATTAAGAGTCATTATTTTACTTCTATAGTCTTCAATGTAGGTCTAAAATGCACAGAGCCATTGACAGGACAAATGAATAGTGACTCACATGTCATAAATCTGGTATTGGATCTAATCTAAATGCAAATGTACTTTAACAGAATAGTGAAACATTCAAAGTATACGCATATATGAGATTATTCCGGCTCATATTCTCATTCACCAACGTGTCCATTATCTCATCAGCGCACTTATTGTAATATTAGCTCTGTCAGGCCGACTGCTGCTTGAGCCATAATGACACACTTGTGTTATGGAGCGCACAACCTGAGATTAGTGCGGGGACGCCCTGCATGTGCCACGGTGATTATGCTCAAAGAATCCACACCATGTAAATGTAGCATTAGCAAGAGAAGAGCTCATCTGTTCTTTACTGTCGCCTTGGGGACAGTGAAAATGCATTTAACACATCTATTAGGCTATGTTCACACTGCACATCGAATTACTTTTTTTTTTTTTTATGTGAACTGAATATGATTTTTTATTTTTATTTTTTTTCATGTCGGTTTGAACATTTGAACATTTGAACAACTAGAATCAAGCCGTCTACAGAAATTGGGGAACCCAGGACAAGAAGCCTTAAATGGGATTTTTTATTTTATTTATTTCTTTTTATTTGCATCTTTCATGTGTAGAAATAAATCTAATTTGAATCTGATCTTTTGCAGTCTGAATATGCAAGTCACATTTATTTGACTTGTGCTGGTAAAATGCTGGTACAGGTGCCAATTGTTTTCAGTGGAAAAATCAGGCATGAAACACAATTTAATGATAAAATACCTGTCAGTCTTTTATTTCTGTAATGCAGTGAAGCTAAAAAGTGCAAAAAAAAGTGAGGTCTTAAACTTAATTGATATTCTGGGAAGGGAAGTTTCTCAAAAAAATAGTATGAATTTATGCCTGTTTAAGGTCAGAGAAAATAATGAGGACACATTTTTGTTCAGTATTGAAAAATGGTGCTAAAATTTCAAACTCAATTTTGATACTACGGAATAGACTTTATACTCAATACCAATTCCAATTCCACAATAAGAACAAAACAAAAAAAAAACACGTGGCCTTATATTTATGTGAACCCTGAGTTGTCCAAGTAGGTTCTACAATCCATGAACTTTCAGAGATGGAAGCTCAAAATATGAATACTATACTAATATGAAATCCAAGATCTAAAAGACTTGGTCACAGATCTGCAGAGCAGAGAAGAGGAATATTTGAGAACCATTGTTAATGCAGAACAAGAGAAGACTCACTTGCGAGAACAATTTGTACAAGAAAAAAATCACGCATACAAATGATATTAAGTCATTTCAGATTCAATACACCAAAATATCTAAAACTGCACATGATTTATGTGACAAAGTAAAAGCAGTTGTAGAAATAATCAACGAACTTAACTCGCTGATTGAGGAGAAAAATTAGGAAAACCAGAAGCTCACAGCTAAAGTTGAAAAACTTCAGTTGGCTTTGCCGTCTCAAGTGGAAATTACCCATCAACTAAGCAGAGACCAGGACGAACCTGAGGAGATGGAGAAACCAAAGGAAGAGCAGCTAAATATTAAGATCCAACAGCTGAAAGATTCACTCTTAAACCTACAGTCTACAAAGGAGGAGCATTTGAGAATAATTTCAGATTTAAAAGAGAGATCAGTGCAAGACCAATCAAAGTTTGAGGCACAGATTCAACAAATGCAATCCCAAATTGACAGACAGGAAGAGTCAATCATAAATCTGAGAGGGAGAGAGGAGGTACATTTGAAAATGAAAACATATTTTGACAATGTCTGTGTAGTGTCAAGATCTGCAGTGTGAACACAGCCTTAGAATAAGCTAATGGAGTTACAGGGCTGGCAGGATGATAAAGGAAAACTGGAATACACAGAGGAAACCCACCCAGATGTGGTATTTTCCAGCTCCACCATTAAAATAAACAGCACCCGTGAGTTGTTGGACGTGTCTGTAACTTCAACTGACCTGTCTCTACGTCTGTCAGCGCTGCGGAGTTGTCGAAGGACCCGCTGAAAATGTGTCTCCCATGGGTGCTCCAGCAGGCCGCTCTGACTGCTTCTGAGTGACAGGTGTAGAGCCGGAGGCAGTGACCGCTCTCTGCTCCGTCCCACACCTCAAACACAGAACAACAACACAAAAGAGTCTTAATACGGAACAAAAGTACATTAGAAGACATTTCATTTAACCCTTTTTAATATTCATGAGTATTATTTAAAATGTGCTGATATGATATTTCAATTCATGTGTATTCTTTAAAAACACATGGCAGTGGCTGACAGTAGGTTTAAAGATGCACTATGTAACTTTTCTGGTGCTCGGCCCGTCACCTGTTTGTCGTCATGGATGTAATTGTCAAGAATGTTCCACAGTAAAGCTTTAAGGTACCAATAATAATAATAGTAGTAAGAGTAGTAGCAGTAATAGTAGTAACTGTTCTAATAGTAGTAACAATAACAGCAGTAATAGTAGTAACAGTTCCAATAGTGGTAGTAATACTAACAGTTCTATTAGTAGTTATAATAGTAATAACTGTTCTAATAGCAGTAACAATAACAGCAGCAATAGTAGTAACAGTTCCAAAAGTGGTAGTAATAGTAGTAGTAGTACCTGTTCTAATAGCAGTAGTAAAGTAACAGTAGTAACCCCCCCCCCTTTTTTTTTTTTGTATATGTGTTAGTCTTCTATTGTGTTATGTCTGTCTTGTTATTGATGTGCTGGATATCCACTCCCTCAAAATTGACAAATTATAAATAAAAAAAAAATAAAAAAAGAAGTAACTGTTCTAATAGCAGTAGAAATACTAGTAACAGTTCTATTATTAGTAGTAATAGTAGTAACTGTTTTTATAACAGTAGTAATGGTAGTAATGGTAGTAGTAGTAGTAGTAGTAGTAGTAGTAGTAGTAGTAGTAGTAGTAGTAGTAGTAGTAGTAGTAGTGGTAGTGGTAGTGGTAGTGGTAGTGGTAATAGTAGTAACTGTTCTAATAGTAGTAATAATAGTAGTAACAGTTCCAAAAGTGGTAGTAACAGTAGTAGTAGTAGTACCTGTTCTAATAGCAGTAGTAATTGTAGTAACAGTTCCAATAGTGGTAGTAATACTAACAGTTCTATTAGTAGTTATAATAGTAATAACTGTTCTAATAGCAGTAGTAACAGTAGTAACAGTTCCAGTAGTGGTAGTAATAGTAGTAGTAGCAACTGTTCTATTAGTAGTAGTAATAGTAGTATAATTTTTTAAATGTAAATACACACATACAAACACTGCACTGAGAAACTCTGTACTATGCCCCTTTTTTTTTTTTTTTTTTTTGTATACGTGTTTGTTTTCTATTGTGTTATGTCTGTCTTGTTATTGATGTGCTGGGTATCCACTCCCTCAAAATTGACAAATTATTTAAAAAAAATACTAGTAACAGTTCTATTATTAGTAGTAATAGTAGTAACTGTTTTTATAACAGTAGTAGTAGTAGTAGTAGTAGTAGTAGTAATAGTACTAACTGTTCTAATAGTAGTAATAATAGCAGTAGTAATAGTAGTAACAGTTCTAATAGCAGTAGTATTAGTAGTAACAATTCCACCAGTGGTAGTAATAGTAGTAGTATTAACAGTTCTATTAGTATTAGTAATAGTAGTATCAGTTATATTAGTAGTAGTAATAGTTGTAACAATTCCAATAGTAGTAGTAATAGTAATAGTAGCAACTGTTCTAATAGCAGTAATAATAGTAGTAACTGTATTAATAGCAGTAATAATCATAAAAACAGTTCTAATGTACATGTCTTGGGAAAAATATATAAACCAAATTGCTGCAGTGGAGCTATACTCGTCTCTGGAGCTGTCCGTGGTGCTGAACAGATGGACGTGTAAACCTGAAGCTAAACTTGAAAGATTTGTATAGAAAATGTTTCTCTTGACACGGGAGCACATGAGAGGAGAGGGTGACACACAGGAGTCACTTATAAAAATATTCATGACAGCTATCAAATGTGTCTAACTTTTATAGCACATATTAAAAAGACAATTTCCCACTGCAGAAATCAAACTACACCCACACAGCTGCTCATGATATATATGTATACTCCCATCTCATTATAGCAATGGTCCTGTCGCCAATATTTGTCTTGCTTTGGTAGCTGATTTTTATTTAATTACAGTTTAAGTTGTTATGAAATTAAAACATCAAGTGATAAAAGAAGATCAAAAAGCTACAAAATGATCGAATGAAAGTTTAAAAAAGGGGGTATAAAAGTTTCATTTGTGTAATTGCAAGAAATGAACAAATTATCGCTATTGGGAAAATCGCAGAAATTTTAATTAACAACATTTATCTGTCAGAAACACATACACACAGGTATTGATTAGTTCTGGTTTGGAGTCAATGGAGCTCAACAGTCCTAGTCCCAGTTTCCGGGTTTATATTTCCCATTCATTTTTCCTACAGACTTAAAACACAATCCAATATTAAATCTAAGGCACTGAGGCTAACCAGCTACATAAAAACTAATGTCCATAAGATAGTCGTTTTCAGTCTAAAAAAATACATTTAAAAGTGCACTGTGTAACTTTTTAGGTGGAGGGTCTGTCAAATGTTTTTCCCCATGGAAGTGTTACTGCTTTGTCTGGAATGTTTCACAGTATGATATCAAACCTTTCTATCTATCCATGAAGACCAAACCAGACCAAGTTCCAGGTCAGATCTGTGGTGAGGCAGCCCTCTCACAGTCAGAATAGCTGTTTTTCTTGGTGTTTTTGAGATATAAAACCACCTGTAACTTAATAAATGTAAGGTCTGAGCAGAGAAATGACTAGGGCTGGATATCATTAAGAAGTTGCTGATACGATACATACCTCAATACACAGGCCACAATACCTTACATATCTTGATAGAGTGAGCTTTTGATTCGATATGATTCAATATGACATATTTCAAATCGATTCCCTACGGTTCAATAAAAAATAGGCTAAATCATGGCTACACTAAAAGTCTTTGTTAAACCACTTCTTGTGCAAATTTAACATAAAACATGCCCATTTTAATCATTAAAACAGTGAAAATGTCAAATGTGTTGCATAAAAGAGTTTCCTTTCTATAAACAAGCAACAAAACTGTAGCTCTGTAACAAAATAATTTGGTAAAATATACCCTTGGCAATATATCGATACAGCAGCCCACGATATCGATACTGTATCACATTAAATGATGCGTTATATAGTTTTTTCAATATTTTTGCACACCCCTAGAAACCACTGAAACAAGCAGGTGGCAGACCCTCCACCAGAAACATTACACAATACCCCTTTAAACCTTGTGAAATATTTAATAACTTACCAGAAACAGAATACTAACATTCAGAAACAGAAGGACAATTATGGGCTGATTAACCCCCTGCAATCTTCCTGTAAATTGTATACTTTTAATCTGTTCATATAAAATTTGGTACCACTAAGTTTAGGGTTAGAGTTTAGGTTTAGGAATTAGTGTTAAGATAGTAATTATTAATCCCAATTGTACATTATGAACTAAACCTGTGTTCATGTTATACAGAGGCTGTTAAAACTGTGCTTTTTAAAGGTATGTGGTGGAAATTTTAGTATTGGGAGTTGTTCTTTCCATTGTTCAAATAAGAAGTGTTAAAAGCCACACTATTCTTTGCGTAATACTTTCTCTCACAGGAAGGCTATAGGTACCTTTGGGTTTTCCATTTACATGTCTGCTGGTTATGTCACCTGTTAAGTGTTTGATCATCTTGACCTGTACTCAGATACTAATGTGAAGGTGTTACATTTCACAGCTACGAAAGCCAAACGGCCAGCCAGACTGACCTAAATGCAAACCGTTGGGATGGGCTTGGGCACTATTTAAGTGTTGTTACCCCATTGCTCTGGGCTCACTGCTGGCAGAAAGTGAGACAATTTCTTACCAGTGCAAACATAATAAACCAACCTAGACAGTATCCGTGTATGTTTTGGTATTATTTTATAGATAATTTTTGTGACAGGTACATTATGTAACTTTTTGGTTTTTGGAAAATCTATGGGAAAATTCATGACAAATATACTTCCGGACTCAAATGTTGGTGCGTCACTTCTCTGGACAGCTCCATCGCCCATAAGAGAGCCTCTGCTGCAGATTAAAGAAGAGAAAGTTTGGAGCTGGGCTGGAGTGAGGTCCTCTCTCTCAGGTGAGCTTGTCCCTAATCTCTCAGTCTGTCAGTGGCTCCCTGCTCTCTCATCCAGGACTTTGAACAGCTCCTTCTGTGTTTCATTATTAACTCCACTCTGCTCCACGGGGCCACTGCAGAGGTGTAGAGATGGGCAATAGGAATGTTCCTGCAGCCCAAACTGAATGGGAGAGAGATAGAGACAGAGAGAGGGGCCCCCAAAACAGCAAGCTTGGATTGGAGGAACAGCTCACTTTGTACAGCTATAGACAGAAAGTCATCAGACAATTGGGAGGGAAACACTGCCATCTTATGTTCATGCTGAAACCTACAGGAAATACTTATCCTAGATTATATGTTACTGTCTGCTTTTCTTATTTTACTGCTTCTACTATACAATGCAAGGTGTACAGAGCATTTATCTTGACAATTAAAATCAGATACAGTCCCTTAAGTTTTTGTTTAGATTTTTGAGAGACTAAAGGTCCTATATTATACAAAATTAACTCTTGTGAACTTTAAGTCATGTTAGAATGTTTTTACCTCTTCAGAAGCATACCCAGAGTTTTATTTTGTTTCATTCACACATGTCTGTCTACATTTTTAAAGCTCAAAATGTTCTGCTCCACTTAGTTCCTGTATTACCACATGACAACACAAGGTGGAACAGGGTGTTTCTGGATAAGAATTGGGTGTAAATATGCAGGGTTTGTGTATTAAAATGTGTGAAAGAAACAAAACAAAACTCCATGTATGTTTTCGAAACCACACACATGCAATGCAACCCTGGAGTGGCCCAAACATGTAAACAAGCTCTCCTGTCTGACAAAAAGAAGAGTTATTTCTAAGCTTAAACTGATGACTGAATGAACCTTTACCAAAGATTTCTTACATTCTGTTGCTTTTGTCTCATCTTAAATAATCACGTTATGAATTGACAATGTATTTCTTCT